TGGTGGGGAAAACTTTTGTGGGGCAAGGAAAGGTTCAGCGGTGGCGGCTTGCAGGGCTCTGGCCCCCTCCGAGCTCTGGTGCTGCTGCACACAGTCCGCCACAGCTCTGCCCACCCTGTAGCGGGGCCCCTCCCCACTGGGAAGGGGCTTGTGTTCCCTGACACTGGCAGGGGCTGCTGCCCTCATCAAGGGCCCTGCCCCCTCACTGCTGCAGCGGCTGGGCAGGGGCATGGCCATATGCAGGCTGGCAGGGCCCCTTAGGTGGGAGCAGGGACAGGGATAATTCCCCCTCCCTCCAGCATCTGGTGGAGGGGACAGGAGGGGTCTTATTCCACAGCTTGCCCCAATAACCCCCCTCACTGCTCCCGCTACCTCAGGGGCCACGCCAGACTGCCATTGCAGCAGCGAGGGGGTGTGCCCAACAGACTGGACTCGGGTCCCTGCCGGTGGGACAGGGAGTGGGAAATTAAACCCCTCTCTGGCCAGTTCAGCCCAGGCTGGCCACACCCATCCCCCCAGCACAGCTTCCCTGCAGCCGAGGGCACTCTTTAGCACCCCCTGGCACCCAGCCTTAGCAACTGCAGGAATGTACCTGCAGTTCCTCAGTTCAGGCGGAATGTCTGTACTGTTACAAACCAATTCAGCCTAGGCAGGTTAGACTAACCAGCAAAGATTTAATCAGTTCAGGCTCCGGCTATTTGAATGTCTGTCCCTGGCCCAAGGCACCAGTGAAAAATCATCTAGAATACCATGGACAGTTCTAGTCATCCATGTCAAGGAGATACGTAAATTTAGATTTGAATGGGTGCAAAGCAGGGCTACGTGGATAGATGGTGAACAGAGAGTCTATCATGTGAGAAGACCCATAAGAGTGTGGCTTGCTTAACTTAGTATAAAGGATGAGTGGGGGATGCAAGTGCTCTGAATTTAAGCTTAAGGATGATGTTAGCACAAGAACAGGTGGTTATAAACTGGTCATGAATAAATGTAGATTTGAAATTAGAGGACATTTTTTAACTGTCAGAGGAGCAGGGTTCTGGAACAGTCTCCTAATAGGAGTGATGAAGGCAAAAAAGCCAACTAGTTTTAAGATGGAAGATGGTCAGTTTATGTAACTGTGGTTGCCTGCAACAGCATGAGCTTGGACACCTGGCTATTCTAGATGGCCTCCTTCAGTCCTCTTTCCTGTGCTTCTGTGTAATACATTGGCCTATGGTATGTTCCCCCGATCTCTCTTCCAGGGGTGTGACACACAGTGGTCTTCCTAGATCGGGGTGTCCAAACTTTTTGAATGTGGGGCTGGATCACGAAGTTTTTATCACCCAGTGGGCTGGCGAGCCATATTCAAAGACCTCACAGGAAGTGTTATCACATCAGGAAGTGATGTCACGTGACCCGTGACACCAGTGAAGTTGCAGGAAGTGACAATGAAATGGGTCTGGAAATGGGTTTAAAATCCAAAATAAAAACAATGTAAAAGCAAGAATGAAATAATACCAAACACCTGATTAAAATAAGTTTTCCTGACCTCTGATCGTGTGTGGCTCTCCTCTGCACTCTCTCACGCTTCTCCACATCCTTTTTGAATTGCGGAGCCCAGAACTGGATGCAGTACTCCAGCTGCGGCCTCACCAAGGCCGAGTACAACAGGAGAATGATGTCTCGGGATTTGCTTGAGAAGCATCTATGGATGTAAGCCAGCATTTTGCTCGCTTTACTAGCTGCAGCATCACACTGAAGGCTCATGTTCATTTTGTGGTCAGCCATGACCCCTAAGTCCCTTTCATCTGTAGTGCTAACCAGCGTAGCACTACTGAGCCTATAAGCATGCTGCAGGTTTTTCTGCATCCTATAAGCATGCTGCAGGGACCCATTCTGCATCCAGCCAGCCACTGCCCCAGAGACTGAGGGGGAGAAATAAATGACTTCATATTCCCAATCCCTTAGCAGCGCAGACCCACGAGCCAGCACTGCCCAAGGGGGAACGGAGCAAGGCAGCCGCTGCACTACAGCCCCTCACCTGCATGGCCCTGCTCACAATGGTGCCTGGCTGCCCGCGCACGCAGCCCCAGCAGCCTCAGCGCTGTGAGCCCAGAGCGCAGGATCTGGCAGTCAGCCAGGACATGTCACGCCAGGATCCCGCCTGCTGAGGCCCCCCAGGGCTGTCCTGCCAACTGCCTGCGTGAGGCGCTGCATCCCGTTCCCACCCCGCAGCCGCCAAGCCCAGCAGGTCCCAGGAGGCGAGCTGGATGCCGGGGGCAAGGGGCGGAGCCAGAGAGAAGTAGTAGGCGCTGTCCCCAGCTCGTTCTGTCAGGCACGGCTGGGGCAGCCCTGCGCTGCGCAGCCCTCGGGGCAGCAGCAGCGGGACCCGGCTCATGTGATGAGCCCGGCCCTGCGGGGGTAAGCAGCTTCCCTCCCCTCGCTGCTGGCTGGGGCCTGTGGGCCAGCCCTGCTCACCTCACCTCGCTGCGGCCCTGCCGCTGCCGCTGCCGTGGAGCACAGAGCAGATGCCAGGATTCCTCACCTGTCCCGAGTGAGGGACCTCGGGCCAGAGAAAATGGCTTGGCGGGCCGCGTGTTGGACAAGCCTGTCCTAGATAATGGAATAATGGTCCTCGCAGGTAACAATAGGTAAAAGTGTGAGGGGATCCTAACTCATGTTTCAGGGCATAAGCCAAATTATCAGCTGACCAAAGGTAGGAAAAAACTTCCTCTCTGAACTTGTTATTCTGTAATTGATGCCAAATTGATTTGTGAGAGTGCTGTATGTTATATGTGCTTGACAGATTGTCCTTCCACTCAGGAGCCTGCAGTCCAAATAGAAAAGACTGATCATATATGGAAGAGAGGGAGTATTAATTTCCATTTTATCGATGGAGCGTTGAAACTGGTTAAGATCTTGTCTACCAGAGATTTTGACAGCTTCATACTAATATATAACCTCTCTCTCTACCCTGCTTTCTCCCTCCCTTCATCCCTCCCACCAGTGTGGACATGCTTATCAAAATATAAGGAGGTGGAGAGATAAACAAATTAGACCAAGTTAAAAGTGTGTGTGCACGTGTGTTTGAAAGGAGGGGGATTATTACCATGCATCAACTCCTTTTGGTTAACTGTTTCAGATGTACATTTCTATCCTGTATCAAGTGGAAACTTACCCACTGTAACTGAGACCTGTTTTATTCCGTTGTAAGATACCCCATTTTAGACCCTAATGACTTTCCCTGGCCCTGGAAGTCTGACTCAGGAATTCAGTTATAACCTGAGTACTTAAGCACAAACTCATCCTTAGGGAAGTATGTGCCTTTGACCTCTTTTATTCTTAAGTTCCTGTCATCTGTCATACTCTCCTTAGTGCCTGCACTGCCTTCTCTAACATTCATCTACTAAATGTATTCTGGTATGATCCCTCTTTAAACCTACCTTTTCATGCTATCCCTTTACCCATCTAATTGTCAATGTGAACTTTTTTCCCTGTGAGTTGGTGCTTGTAAGCCCTCAGAGGTGGAGCGAGGTCCATTTGCAAATGGCTTGATAGAGATTTTAAAGTGGCAGTGGAGGTGTTGTAGCCACCTACACATCAGAATCACCCTATAGGAGATGTTAACATACTTGAGCAGAGATGGCATTAATCCCAGCATAGGGCAATGCAGACGTGTATCATGGCACACATTTGAAAAGTGGAACAGGGGCAGTCTGTAGGAGGTGGAGGGTCAGGCACCTGTCCCCTTGCATGTAGCAGTGGGGCAGGCATGGGCAGGGGCAAGTGGCAGAGGGCACAGGCACAGGGGACAGATATAGGCATGAAGGGACAAGGGGTGAGGGTCTGGCCTCCCACCCTCTACCACTGCTTTCTCTACTAGAGCCGTGGTCAGGATGAATTTAAGATTACCTTCCACTAATTAGATTCTGTACATGTAAAAGGATAGCAAAGTTACAATTTTATAAATCACAAAGTTATAATTTTCCATTATGAACTGTAATTATTGGTGGGGAGGGTTGTCTTACATTTGAAGTCATCTTAGATTCAGGTAAATACAGTCACATCAGCTCCTGAGTTATGCAAAGCAGAATTCGGATCTCTGGTCTTCGTACAAAAATAAAGGAGGAACGAGTTGTTACAAACCAAACTTGGAAAAATCAGAGGAAACTTTCATTTTATATCTATGTGGTGATAGCACCCAGCACACTTCCCTGCATGCTCAGCACACTTTTCCTGCCTGTGCAGGGGGTTGGACTCGATCTGTTGAAGTCCCTTCCGACCCCAACATCTATGAATCTTCCCGCTTTAAATGGTACCAGGGGAAGGTTTCTCCAGCTGCTGATCCAAAGCAGGCTCCCATCGGAGCCTGTGAGAGCCCTACACACCTCCCCCCTTAGAATGAGATATGGGGGGCTTCACCTGGCTGCCTTCCCTGCTAGGCTCAGCCCTGGCCTACTACAGCCTTTACCACGTGGCGAGCACCCCAAAGGTGCCCTGCCACAATCTACATTCATTTTTTATTAATTTAAAAGAACACAGGTAAGTCAGCCCTTGTTCTCTCTTGGGACCTCTGGACTGTCAGAAGGACAGCAGTTATCATGCAGTCATGACTACCTGAACGTTCAGTTGATCACTTGCATGCAAAAATGCTGTTAACACATGCCATTGTAATAGCTAAGGTTGTAAGCAAAGTGCACACTTGTTCATGCTTTTGACAACTAGCTTGTCCTCTGAGATGGATGTGAATGGTAATATTTCATATGGAATGCAAAACTTCTGAAACATGCCCTCTTTTTTTACAGGAACTTGTTGAAGCCACTGGAACTTTGGCTTGAATTTCTGTACTTAAATAATTTGGGGATATTTGTTTATATGATTAAACCTCTCTACAGTAATATTAAAAATAACATATTTAAGTTTCAGAAAAAGCTGAGACTGCAACTGTTTCTGAAACCAATCAGTAATCACTTTAGCTTCCTAACACATTAATTAATTTTTTCTTTTTCTTTTTTTCTTAGGTATATGTATTGGACAGACTGGGGTGAAACACCCAGAATAGAACGGGCAGGAATGGATAGCAGCACACGGAAAATAATTGTTGATTCAGACATTTATTGGCCTAATGGACTCACGATAGATCTTGAGGAGCAGAAACTGTACTGGGCTGATGCAAAGCTGAGTTTCATTCATAGAGCAAATCTGGATGGTTCCTTTAGGTATGTTTCTTTTAGTATCTGTCAGGTTGGGGTATGGGTTTTCTTTTAAAACACTGCTCATTTTATGCAGATGCTAATTTTCGCTAGTCCTCTAATACTAAGTAAACACCTTGTCATCTTGCTAACTGTATCATTAGCACTCCTCGTGTAAACATGTATGCAATCCTACAATTAGAAATGGTGGTTCAGTTTTCTAAAATTAAAGAATAATTGGAATATTTGCATCATCATTCCATGCTAGGACAGTTGTTATAGCCTTCCCCTGCAGCATAATTTTTTCTCTTCTAGGCATATATTTATATTTGAAATTAATTAGAGATGCCTTTTCAAGGCCCTAGGCACCTACCATGTAATTAATGATATAGTAAAATCCCAGCAGCATTAATTTTTTCAATTCAACAGGAACTCAGCAGTCAAGCACCCACAGAAGCTCCTTTTCACCCTCCCATCACTATGGAAAGCACATTCTGACATCCCTGTCAAGCACGTCTTTTGCAGGGTCCCCAGACGGTTACCAAATTTGGGCTCTTTCAGACGAAGGGTGACCATGAGCTGCATTTTACTGCCCTCACAGAGAATGTTTTGGTAATGTTAATTCAGTTAAAATTAATGAGGCCTTTCTAACTTGAGCATCCCTTTTAACTCCTGTTGTGGCATTGTGGCACAAAGAAGTGTGGTAGCTTAGATTAGCCAACTAGGTCTTCATAGATCATAGCCAAAACTTTCAACTCCACTCAGAACTCAGTGGGCAGCCAGCACTGATCTTGGGAGCAAATATTATCATGCATCCCAATGAGAAGCCTCTCACTTGGGAAGTGAACTGCTGCATAGTCTGCATCAGCTTGTCTTAGAATGGTGTCTACCTCTATGTTGACCACATTGCGGTGGTGGTTTCTGCTATCTGGGGTGCCAGGTGCAACTTGAATATGATAATTAAAAGTATCCTATCCAGTTATTCAAGTCTCCAACTTTAGTGCCCACAGTGTTATAATTTGGTGCTGGTACCCAAATACCCTGGTAATGAGCCAGTATGCTGGAAGTAAATCCTTTTTGTTTGTTCTTTTTGTAAATAGAGGAAGACTCCTCCCTTCCCCTCCCCCCAACCTGAAAGAAACGTGGCCTATTAACATTGTTGAAAGTCTTCCCCTGGGATCTGACCACCATCTTACATATGCTTCACGTGTGTACAAGACTTGGTGTGTCTGTTGTGCTGAATTTTAAATTATGTGCACTTGTGGTGGTTTTATATGAGGAGTCCTAAGTATTCCGAATTTTATCATCTGACTTGAACTTCCTAGTCCTAGAGCCCAATTTGGGATGCTGAACTCATGGCACCCAATCCAAAATAATCTGTCTTGGGGGAATTAGCTGAGGAGTGTTAGAACATAACAGAACCTGATATCAAGCTGGTGACATGTCTGAAGGCCGCTATATCCCTATGTGAGAACAAACCCCTAAGGCAAAATGGAAATCACAGCAACATCTGTACCATGCAGATGATTAGTATATTTTAGGTACTTGAAATTTCCTCTTCTGAAACTAATTACTTGACTTGATAAAAATTCAAAGATATTTTGGATTATGCATCTCCATACCAGTTTAATGCAAAATAAAATGTACTCTATATTTTACATTAACTCTACTCCAAAATGCCTCAGTTTTCAGTTGTTTAAAATAGGAATCATGTTGCTGACTCCCTTTGTGTTCTTTTGCATTGACTCACTTTTGAGTTCTACTGAGAATAAGTATCTAAAATCTGAGGAGTTATGCTGTGACTAAGTAATAATCAGGGATCCTGGTTTTCCCTGATATGAAATCACAAATTCTCTGATAATGCCAAAATCTGTGATTAAAATTAACGGCTCCTCACAGCTCCCCTGGCCCTGCTCGTGCCTCTCATTCCCCCCACCACAGCCTTACTGGTGCTCCCCACCCCCACCCCAACCACAGCTCCTGTGTCATAAGGTACCTGCCGGAGGGGGCCTCCAGCTTCCAGGGGTACAAACCCAGGTCCGCATCCCCCTACCCCTGCTCCCCCCCTGCTGTGGGGGGGGTGGCTGGCTCTCCACTGTGGCACGCACTCCTGAAGGGGGCAGGGGGGACCTGTGTATGGCTGCTTTGAGGGGCTCAATCCCATGCCTCTGCTGTCAAAGTAGCCACGTATGCAGGGGACACGTTGCTAGGACAGTGCGGAGCTTGCAGTAGCGAGCAGCTTCTCTGCATAGCTGCACTGTTCCCTGTTACGCTGGGATGCACCCACCAGGCTTTCAATGCCCAGGTGGAGGGCAGCTGGGCAGAAGCCCGTGCCTGCAGCACATGTCTGCCCCATGCACAGATCTGGGGGGTGTGGGGCACTGTGGTGGGGAGCCATCTCCCGCTGCCCCAGATGAGCTGCCCAGGGCCCCATCCCATTCCCCACTGGGGCCCTGCAGCTGCGCATTGTGGGCCCCAAGTCCCATGCACTGCCTGGCTGGGCAGCAGCCCCAGCCTTGCCTAGCTCCCTCCCTCCCTACTTACCTGCAGGAGCTGCTCTCCAGGCTGCCTGGAGCCATATGCCAGTCCATGCATGTGGCACTGCTCTCACCACCCTCTTCCTGCTCCTTTCTAGCTCCATGGAGGCTAGAACTCTGCCAGCCTGCAGGGAGCTCATTGCAAAACTGTAAATCTCTAGGCTTCTTCAGTAAAAATGAGAAATCCAGGTTTGCCTATGGTAAAAGGTAAAATCCGCTGTTTACTCTGTTTTTCCATGGGGAACAGAAAACCCAGGTCCCTGATAATGATAGATAAAAGGTCAAGGCAAGTCAGAAAACGTTTTTAGATATGGCATTAAGGTACCAACCAGACTTTTTGTCGATTCACAATTTTTACAAAACATTTCGTATAACAATTGGCATGTTAGGCATTTATATATAGTTTAACAAAACCACAGGTTTTTTTATTTTTTTTTTTAAGGTAGTTTAGATATTTCAGATTTTTGAGTCTGATATTCTAGTTCTCTTGCACAGGGAATTCCCATTGTCTTCACTCCCAGTCATGTATGTTTAAGGGTATGTAGACAGTAATTTATAAGTAGGATTTAATTAATACCCCTTGAAGAGAGGGAGCGAGAGAATTCAGAAGGGAGCAAGTTTTTCCTGAATGTTCAAATCCCACTTGTCCTGCACACTTTCTTATCTGGTATTTGGGAGCCTAAATACACCCTACATGTCAGATGCTTCCAGTACAGCATATACTGCTGGAAAATCCTTGAGCCTGTGTAGTTCAATGAAGCTTTGGCCATTGTACAGTGTAACAGCAGAGGTACCTTCGGAATTTGTTTGCTTATATGGGAGTTAAATTGCTTCTATGGTATAATAGAACTCCCCTCTTATAATGGCATACCTCTTGTGTTATTAATTAAGGTCCTTGGGTACTGATTTTAATCTTTATATGGTGCAACTTTAATAGGATTTTTGTTTATTTTTTTCCCACCCCACTAATCAATGTTGATGTTCAGAAACCTGTAAAGTGAAATACTTTGGCATTTGATAATGATGTAGGTTTATAGTGCAGTTCAAATCTGGAAATAACTTTAGGATCACAATTGAAATAAAAACTGGGCTTCTTCATGCTTGAATGTCTCTTCTTTTTTAACAGAGCCAGATAAATTATACCTAAAACTTTTCAACAAATAAATCCTTCAATACCACAAATCCTTTCTGTCTCCCCTCAGGCTCTGTCACTTTAGAATTCAAATAAACCAGAAATTTGTGTTCTCTATAGCGGATTAAAATTACTGGAGCAATCTGTTTATGTGTTAGTAAGCTTGAGTTTGAAAGTAAGTCAGCTGGAACTCTTTCAAAAGTTCCAAGGCATGTAATTAAGCTGGGGGGGTGGGGCAGGACCTGATGTGTAAGAGAGATGGAAATAATAAAAGCAAGGACAGTTAATAGTTAGAAACAAAGACTCCAAGACTAGAAAGTCACATAAATTCACCCATCACTCTTATTAGGAAAGGCACGCAAGCCAGGAGATGGGAAAGAAAGTTAAAGATACTGAAGATGAGTTTTCATTTTTTCGTTTAGTCATTTATTACTTTGAGCAATCATCTGGATGTTCCCAGGCCCAGATTTTTGAAAGCAGCCTTAACTCCAAATCCAAAGTGCAGAAAAAAGATTTTGTACGTGGTCAGCTTTGAATGTACATATGCAAATAATTATTTGCACATGTAAATCTGTAAGGCGTCTGCTTGGTGTATGTGCATAAAAATGATCTATGCATATGTCAGTAGATATACGTGAAAAACTTACGGGTGTTATTTTTCAGGTCAGTTATGAAACTATTGCACCATGCTGATAAAATTAAAATAACATGGGGCTGGACTCGATGATCTTCTGAGGTCCCTTCCAGCCCTAATGTCTGTGAAATCTATGAAACACCTTCAGTCAGTGTTACCCTTTCTTCCTACTTTCTTCTTTTTCCATAAGAGGAGTGAACATGAAGTCTGCGTAATAGTTACAAGAAAGTATTTTATTTTTTGCTTCCCTTCCTTGGGGATATTGTCATTTCTATGAACTTTCAAAGTCTTTGAATGAATATAGCCAACCCTTTGATGTGGAAGATATATTTTTTTTCCCTGTTTGAACAAAGCATTTGTTTCTAGTGTGAAAAAACAAATAAGATTGTTTTAATAAACTAAAAAATTGTCCTACTTGCTTTCACTAACTATTAAAATGTCTCATTGCCTCAAATTGCATTGAACTGCACCAGGTTATTGTCCTGTGCATAATCTTTAGAATCCCTTGTACCAAAGCATGTTGTGAAATTACATTCAATGACTGCTTGTCCTAAATGATAGTGACATACTTCCAAAAAATGTGATTTTAAAGAGGGAATATGTCTTATTGTGATGTTTGATTTATAATGTTGGACCTGAGATAAAGAATAATAGAAAAGAATATGGAATCAATCCAACAAGTGACAAACTGCTAACTGTAGTGTACAGAAAAGCACTGTAGAATGAAAAAGTCAGTGGCAAATGAGATCCAGTTCCTGCAGTGCAAAACTACATGTAGTTTTGTATGCCTGCCTTTGTGGAGAGCCACGTGGAGGTGAATGAAGTTTTGTAAAGGAATGGGGGTTCTGGTTCAGGCCCATTGAAAACTTGCAAAATATCATGAAAAAGTAAATGATTACATCTCTGTTGGAGGCATGAGCATGTGCATTATATCCAATTAAAGATTAAAAGTCCTCAAAACCTGTTGCTCAAGGCCACTCCAGTTTCCAGTTCACCCATAAGATACAGAGGGGGGAAAAGGTATACAGAACTCTGATAGCTGGTGCTACTGGAAATAGCTAAACAGCAATGTCGCATAAAAAGTTTCATGCTCAGAGACATAGTTCTATTTAGGAGGAGAATAAGAAATTACTGAAGCTCTGTTAAATTGCTCTGTTACATTTCTAAACGTACTGGTTGATTTATCCTTTGGATCCCACTGCGGATGTGGGTATTTGATTTATTAAATACGTGTCTCCATTAGCACCCCAGAATACCATGCAGGAAATAGGCCTTATCTCATGTGGTTCAGTGTATGTCAATCAAAAAAAAATTGTTGTTGAGATAACTTAAAAAAGGAAACATCTATGCTTTTGCTTCAGTCACTTCTTCAGTACGATGCAGAAAATGTTGGCTCCATAAACAGACAAAAGAGCTGAAATCTTATGGGACAAACCTGGGCAGAGATACCAGACATATGAGTGGACAAAATAACTAGCATTTTAATGAGGAGAAGTATTCTGTAGTCTGTGTTCCATCTTGGAGACAGTCGTAATCAGCCATTTGTTTGCTTGCATTAAAGAACATTGGTGTGGCCTTCCAGGGGTCAGTTTGTAGCTGAATTGGATATCTTGTTGCTATGAAACACAATATATTTGTTTCCTGATTGTTTGGCAGATTCCCAGTTTGACAGCTATGAAGCGGTCAAAGAAAGTCTAACTTTACATTTCTAAATTCTGCAAAGCTTTCTTACACACATTTGTAAGGTGCTCTCTGTTATGGAATCTGACTATATTTGCACAGCATACACTCTAGTCACTAAAATATATATGGATGCTTAAATGGAAGCAAATGGCTGTTCTTTACATTTGTGCTTGCTTTGTGCACAGTTTGATATTAGTCTCTCTAAGATTTTTGGAAAAGTCTTTCCCTTCCTTCTCTCCCACAGTAAACATGGTTAAAATGAGATGAATGTCGTCTTGGGGTGGAGCTGGAAAAAACCAAACCAATGAAAGATCAACAGTCGTGGCTGCTTATAAAGCACAAGAGTTTGCGTGAATGCATTTAGAACTGAAATGAAAGGTTCTCCATGAAATATTTTATGAAAATATGTAAATAAAGGAAGAGCATATCAGTTGTGTATATCCACCCTGGCTTAATTTCTCTGGGTTTTCCCAGAAAGCATTCATCAGGTGTACCTTCAGATAATTTCACTGAACTGTGGGCAAATTGTTTTATTTCAAAATCCTGCTTCTATGGTGATTTAGAGAATTTATATATGCTAATGTTTGTTCTCTTTCATAAATCTAGGCAAAAGGTCGTTGAAGGTAGTCTCACTCATCCGTTTGCGCTGACCTTGTCTGGGGACACGCTGTATTGGACAGATTGGCAGACTCGCTCCATTCATGCCTGTAACAAAAGGACTGGAGAAAAAAGAAGAGAAATACTGAGTGCACTTTACTCCCCAATGGACATCCAGGTCTTGAGTCCAGAGCGGCAGCCATACTGTATGTTTCGCATTGTCCTGAAATTCCTTTATGTACTATATAAGCGTTGTGGTTTGTTTTTTGTGAAGCAAAAATGTTAATTGGAGAAACATTTAGTCTGAATGAGGTCTTGCAGCTCTAAAGATGCCTGAGAGTTAGGTGCCAAACTCAGTGGAACTGATCCTGTTTTGTTACATATGTTCTTAAATACCTTTCTAGAATTGGGCCTTGTGAAAGATAAATGTCACCAGCAAGGTAGGTCATGGTAATGTCAGTTTGTCAGCGCAGAAGCTAATCAGTGATCTGGGCCTGGTCCATCAGTCTTGGTGTGGGTCTAATTCCTACCGACTTCAGTGCAATGAAAGAAGCATGTTATTCAGCCCATCATGTTCTTAACATTAAGAATCTTAGAAGGGGGCCTATATTTCAGGTCGCATCAGTGGCTAGTGCCAAAGAGCAGCTATGATGGAAATTACTTTTAACTTCTGGCATCATAGACCCCTGGATTGAATGTGGGACTGGAGATGAGAGCTCCCCAGGTTTTAATCCTCTTCTAGGTCTTGCTAGGCGGTTTTGGACAAACTGTTTTTTACTCCTTGTTATCTCCACCATAAAAAGAGGGTTACACTTAATTTAATTTACTGCAGAAAAATCTTAGGAGAATAAATTAGTATAATAGGATCTGCAAAGGAAAAGTTCAAAACTTTCAGTTTTGCTCCTTTGATGTTTAAGTAAAACACACTATCTTATTCTCCTGCTTTAAACTTGTTTGAAACACGACTACTGCCTTAGCAGTTTCTAAAACATTTTGGCTGGCTGGTGTGAGGAGGACCAACCAAGATTAGATAACATGTTTTGAAAAATGCTTACTTCCATTCATACTGGCTGACCAAGGAGCCTGTCTGTACTAAATTTTCTAACGTTTCCCACTCACTACTAGTCAGTATAACGATGTTTGAGAGTTCTAATATAGACAGGCCTCCAAATAGCGCCCAAGTTGTTAAAAATCCCTGGTGTTAAGTGAGGCTTGTCTGAATTTTTTATCTTACATTAAGTGCCCAACATATGCAGAACCTTTTTGGTGAGACCACTATACTCATTTAATGCTATGGCCAATTCACATTTTTGACCAGGTGTTTGGAGGTAAATAAAATATCTATTTATGCTTAATATGTAATTTAAAAACAATAAGATAAAGCACTGTAGTCCTCATGGTAAAAAAAAAAAAATTGAAATCAGTGGGCATATCATGCAGAATATTATACTTACTGCTACCATGTCAGTATCAATAGGACCATGCTCCAGGGTCTGTGTGTCCGTGTGGGTGTTCTGAGAATGGTAGTTGCAGGGAGCCTGTGGGGAGGAGGTGAGAGGGATACAGAGGATACAGACTGAATCAGAGCAGAGCAGAAATATGTGTGTAATTCAGCCCTGGGGATAAGTATCGTGTCTCACTCAGCAGAAGGTCTGCCTTTTGGGTTTGCTCTTTAATTTAACCAAACTGGAAGGCTTGTTCCCTGAAGGCAGCACTGTTTTTTGGGTTTGTTTTTTTTTTAAAGGAAAGTTTAGGTTGGCAGTAAACAGGCTTGAAGTAAATAACAGGAATTTGGTATCTGTTTAGTTGAGAAACAGGTGCAAGATTTCATTGGAGGTTGTCAGGTATGTGCTGTACCACAGCTTGTCCCGGAGCTCCAGATGGGAGTGTGTTGTGTGTGCTGGATTCTTGTCATTTCTCTTAGCTGAGGGAATGTCCCTCTCTTGGGTCATAGTATTTCCAGGCCAGTAGCAAGGAAAACATGGTACTTGGGGAAAGAGCATCTGCTGAAAATCATTCAGATGCCATTGACTTCACTGGGATCAAGTTCAGATGCCTCCTCCTCATGATTTTTCTTTCTTGTGGCTCTCAGTGGAAGGCCATACACACACATACACAGCAAGCCATCCCAGGTTTTTATTAATAGCTCTTTAAAAAAAACAAAAGAAAACAAAACCCCCATTTAATTGGATTGGGGATTAAACTGTACATGGTTACAGTACATATCAGGGAAAGCTTGCAATCCATCAAATGTGTTGGTATTCTCAGGGATGATTTAATTGAGTAGTTTCTTCCCTCGTAGTCTTGCTTATTGCTATTTCAAATGTACTGCATTTGCATTTTCAAAACTGATTTTAAAAACAGGTAGGAGGAAAAAGGGGAAGACATTTTTAGTCCTTTCTCTGAAAAGTGAAAGATTTGATTTTTTTGCTCTGTTCTTCCTTCTCCTCTTTTTCTCCCGTGAATCACATACATGGAAATGCTAGAATGTTAAACCTTTAGAAGCTGTAGTATCCAATGTAATATGCTCCCTTTCCCTCCCCAGTAAAAACTAGTCATTTTCTTGTTGCTTGGTAGCAGGAAAATGTTGTCTTTGGCTAGATCTACACTGTGGGGCTGCTGCCACTTTAAGAAGGGTGCCTATGTTATCACAGCCAGGCTCCTCAGTATAGATGTTTGGCTGTTCCCAGAACCACCCCAGCTTGCCCTGTCAGCAGAAAACACCTTCATCTGGTATTGGGATGTTGTGGTGATGTGATAACATAGATAAGGCCCAACTAGTGATCTGAGGAGTCTCAAGTTTTTAGTGCCCAGCCTGAAGTGCATTAAAGAAGGCATGAGCATCTGTCCTCTGAGGATTGGGCCCTTTTTAATGCATCTCAAGTCGAGCACCCAAGATCACCAGCCACTTCTGAAAACTTATCTTTTTGGTTGGTGACAAATGGGCAGGAGTGGTGATCTCCTTCTTGGGAGGGGATTGCAGGAGGTAATATTTGAGTGGGACTTGGAGCCTTTAGAAATAAAAAAAAGTAAATGTTCGTTTTCTTGATTTCTTGAAGTTCATACTCCCTGTGAAGAAAAAAATGGAGGCTGCTCCCACCTGTGCCTTCTGTCTCCCAGAGACCCCTTCTACAGTTGTGCCTGTCCCACTGGAGTGCAGCTGGAACATGATGGCAAGACTTGTAAAGCAGGTAAGGTGTCTCTTAGCTAGTGCTGATTCTGTTGAAAGGCAAAAATTTGGTTTTGCTATTTAGGCACACAGATGTAAAGTAAAAATGCTGAAGATAAGTTGTCATGATTTTGTAGGCAACTTGGTTGGCACAGTCAATGTATACTTGGAGAAACAGCTACACTGGTAATTAAAAAAACCCACAAACCTCTCCTACCCATCTAAGTCTGTATCAGGAGAGCCAGCTAACCCCATAACTTTTGGTATTTTTAAAAAGAAGTTTGATATGTTTTGGTTAAGACACTGAACTGGTAATTAAGAAAATTGGGCATAGTTCCTAGCTCTGCTACAAATGTACTGTATGATCTTAGGCATATCTTTGAGTTTAAAAGTATCCTAAAATGTGGGGCCTGCTCCCTTATTTGGGAACAGAGGATGTGAAGCATGAGTCAACAGGACATGGACAGGACTCTTGTGTTCTTCACTGGGTCAGCTTTTTTAAAAGAGAGTTTTCAAATTTAGAATTGTATAGAAATGCTTGAAAGCAGTACAACAGTGTCTGCTTGCACTAGCAGAGATCCTGAAATGCAAACTGTGAGGAGTGAACTGTCTCATTAATCTTGGTGGGAAATATCTCATATTGTTGGTCCTTTAAATGTCCATGTTTGTAATCATTTCACTGCTTATCAGAGCATGGAAGGAGGGAGAAGATCACCTCTGAAAATTGTACACAATCTACTCTGAAGCCAGCTTTGCACTACAAAGCTTTGCTGGTATAGCTATGCTGGCTAGGAGCATGGGGAAAAAAAGTAAACACAACTGCTATCATTGCAAATTAGTTAAAACTTTTGGTGTTGGTGTAGTGATGCCAACAGAAGAGTGCTTTGGTTAGTGTAGCTTTTGTACTGGGGGTGGTGTAGCTAGCAGAAAAAACTCATTGTCAGCATTTGTTGCATCTTGCTGGAATCTCTACTCCCATAACTATTGCTCCATGGCAGCTCTTTGACACGAGACCAGCTCAGGATGACTGAAGGTTTTCAGATGGCTACTTAACTGTTGAATTATCCAAGATATCTAGGTTGGCCTATCATAACACATGGCGGGGAGGCATGACTAGCTTAATTTTCCTGGGGAGGGGAGGAGTTCAACTTAGAAAAGTCTGGGAAATACTTGATTTCTCTTAGTCTCACCTCTCAGAAGTGCTGTGCACCCATATATTTAGGTATTGCCAATGAGAGCTGCAACAACACACCACCTCTCAAAATCCACCTTCGGGCTTTAATTATTCCTCTTGTAAAACAGAAACAGCAATATGTTTCTGCTTGGCAGCTGTGTTGGAAATCAAGGCATTAATGTTTAAGATACTCTGGTGATCCTGACCATAGAACTACCCACATTGGTAGGCTGCGTTGCATCTGTCTTTTAACTGCATCTACTGTGGATGAATGAATATGATTTCCCTTAGGTTTCTGCCAGTTCTAGAGATCTAGAAATATTTGTTGTAATTCATTCTATTGGTTTGGGCCATAGTTCTCAGGTGATGATCCACTGACTTTTGGTCCACAGAGTACCTTACAGTTGCCTGTGAAGTTTGCTCTTGTCTTGTTTCCCACATCATCCTTCAGTGGGACTTAAATGCATATTTAAGCACCTTTGTGAAGCATGTGCCATATATATTAGAAGGAACCTATTGAAGGACTGTCTTCTCTTTTTCTGTCTGGTCAATGGGACCCATAGACTGTTGTTTATTTCTGCCTATTCCTGATGTAGTAGAGGGTCAGCTCGGCCATTATGCTTGGGCTGCATTCCAAAGAGATTGCTTGCATAACACATTTAGGACACTGGTGTGCCAGTATACTTGCTTAAAGCCAGATCTTTGTGGCTAAGTACAGATATCTGGGGAGGTTAAATCAAGTTTAAAATGTCCGCCTGACTTAAACTTAGCTTGTCCCAGTGCCAGCCTTACTCTTACAGACCAGGTCTCAGTGACCAACAATTAGTCCAAACCTGTAACTGTACAGAAGTGCCATGTATACAAACCAGTCTTACAACTGAAAAACCAGGTTTAAGATAAACCTGGATCTATGTCGTAACAAACTTATTAAGTTTAGGTCAAACTGGTGCATGGAACTTCTGTACAATTTCCCTGTGCAGCCCTGGAGTGGGGAAAACCCAGCCACTGGCCCCAGCCTTGGTGCTGCTTTCCCTCCCCCCCAGCCCTCTCAGCTCCCATCCCATGAGCCATTCCAGGTGCAGCTGCTCTTATCACTGTTCATCCCCACCGGAGCTGAGCACATAAGTCCTGGTGTGGGGAGGGATGGGGGTGTAGGTTCACTTGGGGGGACCCCACTCTACCTGCAGGTCATGCCTGCCCCCATCCCCTGGTGGACCTGCAATCCCCTTCAGCTTGCTTGACTCCCCAACACCCTGCTAGCCTGCCCATCCTGATTTACCTGATATTGGGCAGCCATTTTGATCTGATTTAACCTCCTCCTAATGCCTGTGAATATCTGTACTTAGCTTGTATGGCCATGTGTTGTGTTGCTGCTGATCCAGCAGGTCGCTCACAGATTCAGTTAATTAAAATGGAGTGATCCATACAGAAAAGTGCCAAATTAAAAATTAAACTAGTAAAGCTGTTTCTCTGCTACTGAAGATGAATGGTGTCTCTTCTTCCCTCTGTGCTGACTCCATAAATGGAGAGATGTGTGAGGCAGTTATGCTAGGACATTTTTCTCATTGGGCTGAGTTTGTATTTCCATGCATTAGGTTCAATTCTAGAAAATGTAAATGCAAGGCTCTGTCCTAGGAGGCTTGTGAAGTTTGTTCTCCTAGATAATTTGAATGAGAGGAAATAAATCTAGTGTCTCAGTTAGTAGTTCCCTGCTGTTAAGAAACTGGAATTCCTCCCTGCACTTCCTCTAAAGTGTTAATTCTGATATGACACAGTTGAGGATTACTTAGCTTCTGCTTTAGTTATTGTCCTCCTATCATTGATAACTGTATAACTGTAGGTGCATATTTCATGTTGGTAATTTGGAATTTATTCAATGTATTGGAAAAGTTTTATTTTTTATTAATCAGGAAATTTGTCTTTTTTTTTTTTTTAAATGAGGGAGTAACATTACTGTTTGGAGTCCAGCAATGATTATGCTAAGTGCAACCTTCCTAAATACATATGGTTCTTGCCAGTGAAGTTAACTAAAAAAAACTCTGCTGTTGAAATCTTGGGTGCTTTTTACTGTTATCTAGCCAAAGTGTAGTCATTTTCTAATGTGGGCTCATTTTCACTGGCAGCAGGACAAACACAACAACCTCCTTTCACTTGTGAACTAAGGCGGGATTTGAACCCTCAGTTTCCTGGGTTGAAAGGACAGTTTCATTAACTCTTCCTGCTGCAGTTGAAATGCTTTTAAGGTAATTCTTGCAGCAGCTGAAAGACTTTCTCTTTCCCCATACAGCATAAGAAAGCTTTCCCTTTCACAGCTTTAAAAAACATTGCTGAATGTTGAGAGCCAGCTTTCTTTTTAAATGTTCATATTGACCTTGTGTTTCTGGCAGGGGAAACCAGGGCCAATGTGAATTTGGCTTCAGCTAATGGCACAAACATGAGTGACTGTTTAGACTGTGCTTGCACCTTTCCATTGTTGAGCCAGACAATCTGTCAAGGGTTTTCTGTCAAAAGAGGGCAAAAAATGTGGGATGGGAACAGGAAGTCTGGTTTTGCATAAGAATGTGGCCTTTTGGTTTGGTTTTATGGATTATTTCTTTCCCAAGCTCCACATCTTTTGTGGTCCTGTCTGCCTTATGCCAACATCCACGTGCTTCTCTTTCCACCCTTATTAATTAACTCCTTGGTTGCAAGAAGCTGACTTTTTGTTCTTTGCAAAGAAACTTGTAAGTGGGCCATACTAGGAACTGCAGACATGGAAGAATGATCTATTTCTCAGTTTCATCCCTTGCTAATTTAGGTAAGAACTTCAGAAGTGCCAGATGACTTTATGAGAGTAAGTCTTGTCGACTTTCCCTGGAATTGGGCTCTGGAGTGACTTAACTGGTTGTGAAAACAGAACTGAGGACTCATCTGCAGGGAGAAATGTACTGACACAACTATACCAATACAGTTGAAAAATGGTATTGTGATTCCCCCATAAGTATCTACAAGTGGTATATTACTGGAGTATCTATAGTAGTATCTATGACACTAAATGTCACCATTTATACAAGCCCTCAGGCTTCTAAGTCACTTTGGCCCCCTTGAGAAGTCTACCTTCTGAGTCTTGAAGAATTTGCAAACATGAGACCCGTGTATTGTGCAGCTCTTTATAGAGGGAGGGTGGGTTTGAGGGAGT